CCAGGAAACATGTAACAGATTCAATCTTTTTTTTTTTTTTTTCCTCAAGCTAAATGCTTACTCTTGAAGCAAGATAGTATGTGTGAAAGTCCTTTCCAGGGCTGCTTTATACTGAGTACTTTTTTTAAAACAAAATCTTAATTTGAATCTCCTACATTTCTTCATCTTGCACCAATATCCAAAATATCTTGTTTCTGAAAGGCAAATATTCCCAAATAAGATACACTTAAACCTGAAAAGAATGTTTGTTTAAAGAAGAGTATGGAATTAGAATTGCATGGTCAACCTCAAGTAGCAAGGCAATCTATAATAATCAGTGTCTAGATGTTTATACTTAATAGTTGTGTATACTTTTGGGGTATTTAATAACAATAATTTAATAACAATAACGTAAGTCCCTATGGATAGTTTCAAATTACTTTTATTAGAAAGAAGAGAAACATTTTTATCAGTAAAGATAATTCTTCAGATATACAGTGTAGAAAGAAATTCAACTTCGTTATTGAAATTTTATAAAATGTTTTATCACAGAGGAAACCTTATTTGCATGTCCTTTCTTCAGGGAAGACTCCTGAAAGATATGCTGCCTTTCACCAAACATTCTGCCATTTCTCTGACGGCACTGTACACCGATTCATGTTCCAGGGTACTACTGGCTGGAAATGTAGGTAAGCCATTACTCTTTTATATTTGGCCAGGAGCATCTTCACCTACATGACATGAAAAACTGGTGTAGGGAAACTTCTTTTACTGACATTTTCTGAGACAAAAGAAAGTCTGGAAGTCATACTGCAGCACAGACAGCTTGTGGAGTAAGTGGAAAAATAAATGAGTGTCAGGGAAAACTATGTTATGCCTATCTAAAGTGAGATATTCTAGTTCTTCCACTTTTAAAATGAGTATATGATTACCCATCACCTTACCTTCGTTTATCGGGCATAATATAAAGTTTTAATTTTTAACTTTGAAAGGATTATGTTGCATTAATCCCCATTCTGAAAGGGAAAGGATTACTCGCTCTCCTTGTGGGGGGGATATTACATTTCTTAGAATTCATACAGTTGGATTTTAATTCTTCCATCTATTACAACTTTTTTATCCTTCCCATTTCCCTAAATTTTCTTTGTCTTCATCTCACCCATATTTTCAAGGATTATGTATGTATGAGTGAATATACTTGTGTGGAACAATTTTTCATTTTTCTGGTGGTTTTTGTTTTGTTTTTGTTTGTTTGTTTTTTTGTTTTTTGGGTTTTGTTTTTTTGTTTGTTTGTTTGTTTTGCTTTTTTGGTACCAGGGATTGAACTGAGGTCCTTGCACTTGCGAGGCTGTCCCCAGAACCACTGAGCTAAATCCCCAGCTTTACTGGTGTTTTTTCAAAAAATAAAATAAAATAGATTTACTATATGATCCAGCTATACCGCTCCTTGGTATGTACCCTAAGGATTCAAAGTCAGCATACTACAGAGATATATGCATACTCATGTCTATCTCAGCATTATTTACAACAGCCAGGTTATGGAATCAGTCTAAAGACTCAACAATAGATGAACAGTGGTGCACGCCTATAATCCCAGCATTTAAGAGGCTGAGGCAGGAGAATTGCCACAAATTCCTGGCCAGCCTGTTACACAGTGAGTTCAAGGCCAGCCTGAACTACACAGTGAAACCCTGTCTCAAACAAAACAAGAAGGAGGAGGAAGAAGAGGAGGAGTAGAAGAAGGAGGAGGAGGAGGAGGGGGAGGAGGAGGAAGAGGGAAGGTGGAGGTGTGGAAGAGAAAAAGGAGAAGGAAAGTAAGAAGAGGAGGAAGAAGGAAGATAGAGGAAGAGGGGAAGAAGGGGAACAAAAAAGAAGAGGAAGAGGAGGTGGAGGAGGAGGACGAAGAGAAGAGGAAAGAAGAAAAAGGAGAAAGAGGAAAATGAAATCGTGTCATTTCCAGGAAAAAGGATGGAATTGGAGATGATCGTGTCAAGTAAAATAAGCCAACTCAGAAAGAAAAGTATTGAAGGTTTTCTCTCACATGTGGACTATAGAAAATATGATAAGAAAATAGAGGGGGACTATCAGGGAAGGGAAAGAGGACCAAGGGAACTGGGGTGAGTTAAAAGAGGTAAGAGGAGGGCCGGGCATTTAGCTCAGTGGTTCCACTGCCTGCCTCACAAGCACAATGTGTTGGATCCCTGGTACCAAAAACAAACAAACAACAAAAAAGAGGTAATTGGGAGGGTAGATATGATCAAAGCACATTATTTGCCTGTACAAAAAGTCACAATGAAATCCATTATTTTGTACACTTAATATGTGCTAAAAATTTTTAATACAAAAATAATTGAGGAAAAATAAAATTTTAACAATTTACTGGAATTAAAGTTTTTCAAAATAATTAATCTGTTAGAACAAAATGGTACCTTTTCAGTTAAAAAAGGAAATTTAAGTACTTTAACGTTCTCTTTTTTCCACACCTATCCCTTTACTTATTGTTGATTTGCATTCAGATTATATCTGCCACTATGTGCTTAAATTTTCATCTTTTAAGAAAATTTTTCCCATTTCAAAATTTATCTTATAAAATTCCCAACAAACCATGTTACCGTTGAGCTTTCCAGACAGTATTGGAAATAACTGTTTATATACATTCAGTATTGCCAGATGTACAACATTTATTTAAAGTTATCTCTATTTTATCTGACTTCACTGCTCACCACCAGTTCTTTCATATCCTGATATGGTTATTCTTAACTTCCTGTTTTCATGTATCTGTCAATCTTTATAGCTCTATAGACTCTGTATTTACAGCAGAATAGGAGGGAAACTGAAGGTCAGGCAGGATTTTACTTTTATACTAGCCTTCATATTCTTGCACTAACCTTGCCTGTTACATGATAAACCTTTTGTAATAAAAAAATACAGTACTAAAATGTAAAATAGCTGCAGAATTCGCAGAATGCACTTCTGTTAGAACTACTGGTCTCTCCACCTCAGGTCAGTGAGCTTTATTTATTTATGGGTACCGGGGGTCAAACTCGGATCCTTGCTCTTGCAAGGCAGGTGGCAGAACCACCGAGCTAGATTCCCCAGCCCTCAATGAGATTTATAGTCTTCGCCTACGATCCAGAAAACCAGGAAGGGGTGGACTTGGGATCCAACACAGCCCCACCCACATTATGACTAAAGCCGACTTTGAGATTCTGGCCTTAGGTTTCCTTTCTCTGTGCCTCGGCTGAGGGGCAAAGAAAGGCCGGTGTTCCTGGAACGCACCGCGTTCTGCCCCACCCCGTCTCGCGCAGGCCCCGCCCCTGCTCCAGTTTGGTCCCGCCCACGGTCCGCCCCACCTGGGCCCCAGCCCCTCCCCCGCCTGCTGCGGTAACCCGGGAAACCAGAGTTGATCTGCGGGCCTACTGGAAGCAAGTTTCATGGCAGCCGCGAAGAAAGCAGCTGTGGGGCCGTTGGTGGGAGCAGTGGACCAGGGTACCAGTTCGACGCGCTTTTTAGTTTTCAATTCAAAAACAGCTGAACTGCTTAGTCATCATCAAGTGGAAATAAAACAGCAGTTCCCAAGAGAAGGGTGGGTGGAACAAGACCCTAAGGAAATTCTGCAGTCTGTCCGAGACTGCATAGAGAAAACCTGTGAAAAACTTGGACAGCGCAATATTGATATTTCCAACATAAAAGCTATTGGTGTGAGCAACCAGAGGGAAACCACTGTCGTCTGGGACAAGATAACTGGTGAGCCTCTCTACAATGCTGTCCTGTGGCTTGACTTAAGAACCCAGTCCACCGTGGAGAAACTGAGTAAACTAATTCCAGGAAATAAAAATTTTGTCAAGTCCAAGACGGGCCTTCCAGTTAGCACTTACTTCAGTGCAGTGAAACTTCGTTGGCTCTTTGACAACGTGAGAAATGTTCAGAAGGCTGTGGAAGGACGCAGAGCTCTTTTTGGGACCATTGATTCGTGGCTTATTTGGAGTTTGACGGGAGGAGTCAATGGAGGCGTCCACTGTACGGATGTAACAAATGCCAGCAGGACGATGCTTTTCAACATTCATTCTTTGCAATGGGATGAAGAGCTCTGCGCCTTTTTTGGAATTCCAATGGAAATTCTTCCCAGTGTCCGGAGTTCCTCTGAGATCTATGGCCTGATGCAATCTGGGGTCTTGGAAGGTGTACCAATATCGGGGTGTTTGGGCGATCAGTCTGCTGCTTTGGTGGGACAAATGTGCTTCCAGGATGGACAAGCCAAAAACACATATGGAACAGGATGCTTCTTACTATGCAATACAGGCCGTAAGTGTGTATTTTCTGAACATGGCCTTCTGACCACAGTGGCCTACAAACTTGGAAGAGACAAACCAGTATATTATGCGTTGGAAGGTTCTGTAGCTATAGCCGGTGCTGTTATTCGCTGGCTAAGAGACAATCTTGGAATTATTAAGACCTCGGAGGAAATTGAAAAACTTGCTAAAGAAGCAGGTACTTCTTACGACTGCTACTTTGTCCCAGCGTTTTCAGGGCTGTATGCACCTTATTGGAAACCCAGTGCGAGAGGGATAATCTGTGGACTCACGCAGTTCACCAAAAAATGCCATATTGGTTTTGCTGCGTTAGAAGCTGTTTGTTTCCAAACCCGAGAGATTTTGGATGCCATGAATCATGATTGTGGAATTCCCCTCAGTCATTTACAGGTAGATGGAGGAATGACCAACAATAAAATTCTTATGCAGCTACAAGCAGACATCCTGTGCATTCCAGTAGTGAAGCCCACCATGCCAGAAACAACTGCCCTGGGTGCTGCCATGGCAGCAGGAGCTGCAGAAGGAGTTGGTGTTTGGAGTCTCAAACCAGAGGATTTGTCATCTGTCACGATGGAGCGGTTTGAACCTCAGATCAATCCTGAAGAAAGTGAAATTCGCTATGCTACATGGAAGAAAGCCGTGATCAAGTCAATGGATTGGGTTACAACTGAGTCTCCAGAGAGTGGTGACCCTTGTATCTTCTGTAGTCTGACTTTGGGCTTTTTTATAGTAAGTAGCATGGTAATGTTAATTGGAGCAAGGCACATCTCAAGTATCCCATAAATAATACCAACTGATGGATTTCCAAGATGAGAACTTTTTATGAAAGGAGAGAATCTAGCAATTGTGACTCAATGTGATGACACAATCTATAGACTCTGATTTCATTTTATATGCCCTTGCTCCATGATCCACTTAATAGACCTGTGGCTTGAAATAAAGAAAATGCAGCAGCAAAAAAAACAAAAAAAAAACCCTCAAAGTATTGCTGTGTGGTCACTATTTTCAATCAGGCTTCCTTAGGCACTACTAGTTGTTACTTTTTTTTTAAGTCTATTTTTAGAGCTATTTTAGGTTGACAACAAAATTGAGTAGAAATGACAGAGCTCCCTTATACATCTTGTCCCCTCCCCACATACATTGCTTCACCACTTACATCCTACACCAGAGTGGTACATTAGCTACATTCAATGAATCTACATTGACTCTTCAGTGCTACCCAAAGTACACAGTTTATAGTAGAGTTCACTCTCAATGTTGAAGATTTTACAGGTATTGACAAGTATGTAATGCCCTGTATACACCATTATAGTACAAAGCAGTAGCTTCACTGCCCCTCAATTCCTCATTCCAGCCTCTAGCAACTACTGATCTCACTGTTTCCATACCTTGCTTTTCCAGAATATGATATTGTTGGAATCATACAGTATACACCCCTTTCAGATTGGTTTCTTGCACTTAGTAATAAGTACTTAAGTTTCCTCCATTTATTATGGATTTTTAGTGCAGGATAATATTCCATTGTGTCAATGTATCACAGTTACTTTATCCATTGACTAGTGAGAAATATCTTCCTTGCTTCCAAGTTTTGGCCTTAATGACTCAGGATACTAGAAACATCTGTGTAAAGACTTTTGTATGAACATAAGACTTTAGTTCTGTTGGATAAATATCAAAGGTGTAATTTCTGGATCATACAGTATGTTCAGCTTTGTTAGAAATTGCCAAACTGTCTTCCAAAGTACCTCCACCATTTTGCATCTTCACCAGCAGTGAGCAACAGACAACTTCCTGTTGCTGCATATCCTCAGCAGTACATGGTATTTTCAGTGTTCTGGAATTTGGCCATTTTAATAGTTGTATAGTAGTCTCTTGTTGTTTTATGTTTCCCTGATGACATATGCAATCAATCATCTTTTTGTATACTTTTCTGTTTGTTTGTATATCTTCTTTGATGAGGCGTCTCTTCAGATCTTTTACCCCTTTTTAAATGTGTTTGTTCATTTTCTTCCTGTTGCTTATGGAGGTTCTTTAAATAAACTGTCTCTGATCATTTTCTAGAGTCTGCTCCATTTGAAAGTAATATTACTATTCCTAATTTCTTTGTTCAGCATTAATGTGGTATCTCTCTCCATCCTTTAACTTTAATCTATTTGTGTGTATATTTAAAGTGTTTCTTGTAGGCAACATATTGTTGGATCATAGTTTTGATGCTCTCTGACAATTTCTGTCTTTTAACTGGTATTTTAGACCAATTATATCTAGAGATTGTTGACATAATTTGATTGATATGTACTATACTTGTTACTATTTTCAATTTGTTACCCTGTTCTTCTGTCTTACCATTATCTTCCACTCTTTCTGCCTTTTATGGTTTTAACAGAACATTTTGCATAATTCCATTTTCTTTCTCAGCATAGCAATTATACATTTTTCAACTTTTTTGATAGTTGACCTAGATTTTACAGCATATTTACAATTAATGTATGTCCATTTTTTTAATAACACTATAGCACTTTTTAGGTAATACAATATTCCTAATTCCTCCCTTCCATCCTTTAAATAATAATTGTTATTCAATTATTCATAAGTTATATACATTGTTGCTGTTATTTTGTACAAACTGTTACATATTAACTCAAAAATTAAAAAAATGAAAGATTTTGTTTTACTTTCACTTAATCCTCATCTAGTGTGCTTACTTAATGTAGAACCAAATTTCTGACCGCTATCATTTCCCTTCTCTGTAAAGAATTTATTTTAACAATCCTTGCAAGGCAGGTATACTAGTGACAAATTCCCTCGATTTGTAATTGTTTGACAAAAAATACTTCCTTACTTTTGAGGGATAGTGTTTTTCATTCCCTCAACACTTTAAATATTTTTGCTGGACTCTTCTCAAGTGAATTTTTTGTCTCTGAATAGAAGTTTGTATAATTCTTTATGTTTTCTCCCATATGGCTTTTTTAAAAGGCTTTTCTTTTTCTTCCTGCAGTTTAAGCATGATATATGTAGGTGTCCTTTTGTTGCATATACATATATACGTGTGTGTATGTGTGTGTATGTATATAAATTGCCATTCAGATTATAAGATGAATCTTATGAACTGTAAGAATTTGGACTTGATTTAGCAGTATGTATTCACTTTATTATCATCTACAGTGACACCCAGAAAAACTCTGAGTGAATAAAGCAACTTCATTATGACTTACTAAGCCAGAAACAAAATAATAGCTACATACACAAACTTATGTGAAATTTCTTCTTCCTTATCTGGTTGCTCAGATTCTATCTTATTTACCAATATAAATGCCTAAATCAAAATGAGTTAGCATTGTAGATGATACTTACTTAGACAATATGATCTCTGATTAAGAATTCCAATGTTTCAATTTCATACAGAAGGACATGTTATCCTTTGCAGTATTAGCTCCTTCCTGGATCCACCTCATGAAGAAAAGGTATGAACTTCAGTTTTCCACTCTACAATGCATCAGTACATATCTACTGAGCATTTCTCTTGGGTACACACTACAAAAGGTATAAATACAAGACTCCTTGCTTTCAAGGCATATATGCTATTATCATTTAAATTATATGACAAAACTGAGAAGATGGCATAAATAAGTGCGTGAGACTGAAGAGGGGAAAGAGAGGAAGTGAGCTTCTGATCATACCTTATGCTTTGTTAATAAATTATTGATTTATTTATGAGTATCTATATAGAAACCCAGAGTTTAAGGAAGATCAGTCATCATCTAATCTCCCATGGTTTATTTATCTTAAACATTTTCATAAGGCATTCTATAACCTTTCCTAGCAACCCCAAAGCAGAACCGTAATTGTCAAGAAACTCTTCCTGATATCTAATTTAAATCCTCTTTATAATTCCAGTACATTTTATTTTTTAATGACTGAAACTTTTTATTGAGTTTATTAGTACCTTTTAAGTATACAGTACAGTTACATTCATCCCTTTACATGACACATCTTGGTTCTCATTTTTTCCCTATACCTCTGCTCCAGTACATTTTAAACCTGCTTTTAGTGCTAAAGTAATATAAATGTCACATCCTTATTTTATAAACATTTAAATAGGAATTTGTTATATGCATGTAATCTATCTACATGTATTTTTTATAAAGACCCAATACTGATTAAAGGTTGTACCAAGCAAGACCTATTTTAGCAAATTCTTATATTCCTTCAACACATCAATACAAAAACTAAATATTAGCAAAAGTGCCAAAATTTTATTTTTGGATCACAGGTATTAACTTAGGGATATAGACAACAGAATAAGACACTTGCAGAGAGTCTTAGAATGGTTATTATTTCTAATACTATATTTGAAAAATAGAGCTTTCCTTTTGCTCCAAAAAATCCATCATATTTTCTATAAAGTTTATATATTCAGCTTTAGTGTAATCCTCTCTACCTTGCAGAGGATAAATTAGAATGACTTATCCAGAGTCACATGGACAATTAATGATGAAGTTAGGATCAAGACCAGGGTTCTTGTTCACAAATCTAATGTTTCTTCCATAAGCAGCATTCACTATTGCCAAATAAAAAACAAGGTTCAAACAACTTCTGAAATACCAACTTTCATTTACCAATAACTAATATTAATACAGAATATGCTGTAAACTAAAAATAATATATATGCTTGAACAATGTATAGGTGAAAGACTGTCTAATTATTTTCTCCTACTGGTGATGATTATCAATATTGTATTATTATTTTTAAGAGGTGAAAATAAGATTTAAAGCCAACAGTTTTGTAAGTGGATCGTCTAAAAACAGCAACCAAAATCTTTCAAAATTTAGAGAAACTCTTCCAAACAGATGACTATATAATGTTTTAATATGAGTACAAATAATTTCAATGCATTTTCACCAATCTAAAAGAAGAGGATTTACTTTAATAACTTTATTTAAATTATTCCATATTCAACTTCATTTCGACTTTTTCTATACTGGACAATGTGATTATCCAGTTTCCACATGGCTTTCTATTTATACAACAGAAGTTGGTTATGAAATTCATCATTACTATATAGACTAATGTATACCATTATATTAATCCTGGCCCAGCTATATAGCCTGATTCAATGAAAGCCCAGAGTACCAGTCTATAAATCAATTTAATCTTGTTCTATCCCAATATTACTATTAAAAAGAGGTATAGAGAGCACAGATATTCTGAAATAGGATATTCAGAACCTCTCCACAATCTCCCACATGGTTATATATATACACATATACAGAAAAGACAGTCCTAATTTCTAATTAAGTTGTAACACATAAAAGCAATTTTTTTTCATCTTTAATTGAGTTTATTGGTACATTTTAGGGATAGAGTACAGTTACATTCATTGTTGGGATCTTGTACCTCTACATGACAAGTCTTGATTCTCATTTTTTCCCCTTACCTCTGCCCTCCCTTCACCCCTTCCTCCCCTCCCCATCTACAAACACTTTATTTTCATCTTTTCATTATCTCACATTTTTTTCTTTTCCCTTTTTACTCTTCCCCTACCCATCCCACCTTCCCTACACCTTTAGCTCCTTTCTTCCCATTTCTAAATGTCAGTAATCTTCTTAGAATCTTATGCATTGTTGCAGATTATTCACACCAGGGAAACTATTCGGTATTTCACATAAAAGCAATGTAATGAGTGTCAACCAAAACTTTGGTAAAAATGGGAGAGAATGGACTGGAATGAAATGCAACAGAATAAACATGTTAGTATATATTACACCTAGTTAAGAATCCTCTTGCGGACATTATTTCAGATGCGTATTAGAGAAACACATGCCTTAGAGAATGCCATCTTTTGCCACAGGTTCGAGGCCATCCTGGGCCATATAGTGAGTTCAAACTAGCCTAAACTACATAGCAAGGCCCTGTCTCAAAAAATGAGAGAGCAAGAGCGAGAGTGTGGGAACAGCAAGTGGGGGAGAGACAGAGAGAGAGGGAGAGGGAGAGGGTGAAGAACAAATTGCAAGTAGGGACTTACTTGAGCAGCTGTCTACACCATCCACGCATACACATGGCTCTTTAATGAGAAATAGTTCTGCTTAAGATTATAATTCTTGACTTATACCAAGGTTTGTACCTGACTGTTGCTATCTAGAAATTTAAACAGGTGCTCTCGTGGCGTGCCCATTCTTCAGAAATCGTTCAAGTGATCTACGTGGAAGACAAGCAAGTGGTGCTTACTGCCTCCGTCGATGGCTCAGTCAGGTAAACCAGGACAGTTTCTTGCTGTGAACTCAGATTCTGACTATGACAGATAAAAGCTTTTATGCTGAAGTTGAAGTATTCGGTTAAAATGCAATACTGGTAAGCTGATTTTTTAAAGGTGACCCTAAAGGGCTTTGAGAAGACCATCGTTGGTTTGGAATTTTTTTTCTACACCTATGGAAATAAGAGGCCATGCTCCTCCGTGCTAAAAAATAATGATAAATACTCTCAATAGAAATGGTTTTAAAAGAATTAAACAAGATAACAACTCAGAGAGCTACACCCAACCTAGAGAAGCCACAAGAAAGAGGCTTAGAATCAGAAGTCTCAGAACAGTCATGGCAAACAGGTATGATTAAGAGAGGTAGAGTGACTTCAAGAGATTTTAAACATAATACGAATGTTTTATGTTGCATGAAAGCCCCTGGACTGAAGTTGAATAGGCCCCAGTTAACAATGAGGGCTTGAAACTAGAAAGTTAGGCAAGAACAAAGTCCTGGACTGTCTAGTAGGCATTGCTAAGGATTTAGATTTTTACTCTGACCATGAACTGATTTATATTTTTAATTTTATTTTTTGTAGTCCTGGGGATCAAACTCACATGCTAAGTAGGCTGAGCTACATCCCAGCCTTTTATTTATATTTTTAAACATAAAATATGGAAAATGGATTGCAGGACAGCAAAAAGAGGAACAAGGGGATCACTTAGAAGCCTATGGTGAACATAGAGCCTTGGATTAGATGAGAGGCAGCAGTGCTGGAGATAAGTGACTTAAATTCAAGAGGTATTTAGCAGGTAAAATCAAGAAGACATAAACTTCAACTGAGAGGAAACTTAAGTATCAAGAATGATATCTTGAAGATACAATTAGACAACTATTGGTGTCACTCATTAAGGAAAGAGTTGCTAAAATATTTTAAATCTGGAGGGATAAAGGAGAACTTTTAGAAAGGTTGAGTTCAAGGGGAATCTCTAGAGCGAAAGTGTTATTTGGAAGTAAATAGAGATACATCCACTATGAAGAGGGACCTACTTTATTTGAAGAAAAGATTAAAAACATGCATTTTCATTATTACAGATATCTTTACCAACTGAGTCTCATGATCTCTGCTCCAACTTATTTTCAGCAGCCCACAGTAGAAGTGATAATTAGAGATTGTAACACACACACACACACACACACACACACACCAAGCACATGTATAGAAACCTCTGTTGCTGTGAATTTTCCCCAATTCATCTGTTCAGGCTGCCATAAGAAAGTAACTTGGGCTCGATAATTTATAAACCACAATTCTAAAGGCTGTGATGTCCAAGATTGAGGCATCAGCAGATCCAGGGTCGGGAGAGAACTCATTCTGTTTCACAAATAGCATCTTCTAGCCAAGTCTTTATGTGGTAGAAGGGATTAAACAAGTTCCTTCGGGCCTCTTTTGTAAGGACACTGTCGCACTTTGATGTCCTTTCCAAACTCATGTTGAAATTTGATCCCCCATGTGAAGTATTAGAGGACAGAAATTTAAAGTGACTATAGCATTTGGAGGTAAGGCTGCAAGGAAGTCATTAAGGTTAAATGAGGCTATAAGATGGGGTAAAAGCCAATGGGACTGTGCTATAAGAAGAGGGACCTGAGCTGAGGTGCTTTGTCTTGCCCTGTGATGTCCTGTGCCCTGTTAGGATGCTTAACAAAGAGTTCTCACCAGCCAGAAAGACCTGACCATATGCCAACACCTACTCTTGAATGTCTCAAACTTCAGAACCACGAATTTAATAAGCCTTTATACATGACCAGTTAGTGGTATTCAGTTATAGCAATAGAAAATATACTGTTTTCAAAGGTGGAGCCCTCAAGACCTAAACATCTCTCAAAGGATCCATCTCAACACCACCACATTGGGGGATTAGGTTTCAATATGTGAACTGATTGAAAATGCAAGCATTCAGACCACACAACTGCTCAAACTGGCTACCCTTAGCCACGAGAAATTTTTTTCTTTATTCCTTTAAGTGGAAACCTCCCTTGATAGTTCAAAGAGGCTCACTCTATTAATAGCTGTCTTAGAATATATCTCTTCATAACCATAAGCCATGTCCTTTTGCTAATATGAGCTGCCGCTTTCTAAAGAGGCAGGCACTTTTAACATTTAAATATTGTGAAAAAGATAATAATTTTAATAGGAAATGAGTATAATTGAATGTTAATTCTGGTCCATAGGACAGAGATCAATGTAAAGATAAAATTTCAGAGAGGCAAATTAAGGCTCCAGATGGCCAAGGCTCCATACCTAAGGCCCAGGGAATCAGGCTGAGAGGCAAAATCAGTTATTTGAAAAAAACGCCACATGAATCGGGAAACTCTCTGAAATAAGGAGACCAAAACTTACTTCAGTCTGGGATAAAGTGGAACAAATGTAAAGTTGTTCTGAGCTAGTACCTCTCAAGTCTTTGTGTTTAAAGGACTGATCCTTTTCTCTTTGGTAAGTGCTCTGGCAAGAACATGGCCTTTCTGTAGTGCTGGGGAACTAAAACATGGAAAGGATATAAGATGCTCTTGCCAAGTTCTCGAGATACTGTGAAATGCTAGGAGTCCCACCTGGACACCTCTGCTGCTGCCTTCTCAGCATCAACCTCTTTGAGAGAGGATGCTACTTGGACTTTGTAGAAATCTGCTGTTAGTTCTTTAGCTTATCCTTCTTCTGGATCACTGCAACAGACCACATAATTATGGTTTCCAACTTTGTTCCTCTGAGATCAAAATCAAGATATAAAAGGAAGATCTTCCAGGCACTCTTTTATCTTTCCATAGGTATAGAGCACACACTCCTGCTAATTATATTCTATATTATTTTAAGCCAAATGGGCTACTATGATGGATCTCTTGAAGGGAATTGATGGTAAAATGAAAGAGCCACTTCTTTTGCCATCCTACATTAGAACTCAGTTGTAAAAATTAGTTATTATTGTCTGCACAATAATAAGAATTGCGGACAGAGTTTGAGAGGAATTGGACATTGCAAAAAGCATCCCTAGGTCTCTCTTCCTACAAGTTCTAATGTTGTTGCTCTTTTGAGTAAGCAGCTGGGATACAGCCCATTCCAGGACTAATTCAACTAATTAGCTATTATTAGTCAATGTGGCTTCTGATTAGCTTGGATAAGCAGTGCTATTTTGGGAAAAATCTGTTCCTTGTTTTCTGGTTTGGGGAAATCAGTGTCATAAGTACAGATTCAAGCAGCCATTTCCCAAAAAAATATCATGCCCTCCTTTGCCTCCCCTCAGGCTGTGGCATGCCTTCAACGGTCACTACTGTGGATATTTTGGACAGCAAAGAGTCTTTGATTTATCACAAACTAGAGATTTCATCTTGCCATGTGATGTTACTGAACTTCCTGTAGAAATAAAAGAAGAAAGCAAGTTCACAGAGAAGAAGCAAAAATATGAATATCCTCTGATATTTGATCAGCAAAAGTGAGACCATTGGTTTTTCTTCAGATGAACAGATAAGAATTAAACTATTGTGGTATTGCGACTCTGTGTTGGACATAGAGAATTCAAAAGTGAAAAGCCCAAAACTTTTCAATAGTTTCACAACCCAGTGGAAGGGAGGTATATATGTAGACAAAAAGCTATAATTCCGTATAGTAGTATTTCAGGGAACATCTAATTCTAAATAACCAGTAGGTAAATAGAACTTAACCAAGGAAAACCAAAGAGGTGACTGCCTAAACAAAGGTAACAATAATGAGAGGCTATATGATATAGTCTTTTAAGTTTGGAGTCCAAAGGGTTTGTGGGAAAAACATGATAGGAAACAAAGCTAGAAAAATATATAGGGGCCATATCACAGGGGGCTTTTTATGGGCCAGTGTGAGAATTTTCAACTTTATGGAATGCACTCTAACTGAATACACAACAGGAAAATGGATGGGAAGGGAAAGACAATGAGTCTGGTTGGAAATTAAGTCTAAGGTGTTTGTGGGACCTCCAGTGAGGGTCTGTAATGAGAAACCCGAAGGATGTGTTTGGCCTCCTAAAAGACGTCCCAGTTATAGACAAAGATTCTGTAGTTATAACATAATATTATTTTTTCAGTGGAATAAATCCAGAAAGAGCCTCTAAAGAGCAGATCAAAGAAGAGATACTAATGCAAAACTTTGAGGGAGAAATAGCTAAGATATTGAGAGGAAAAATTACAATCAAGCATGATAATGGAAATCTAGTAAGGAGAGAGTTGTAAGAGGTATAAAAAGATTCACTTGTGGAAGGTGAGAATGAGATCACATATGATGATAGGAAAATAAACACTGGGCTTGACATGAAATGTTCATCGATACCACTAAAGAAGGTAATTTCAGAGGAGTGATGAGTATAAATCCCATTGCAATGGTTGAGGAAAAAAAGAGATATGAGGTAAAGACAGTACAGAGAACTTTTTAAATTTTAAATTATATAGATTTGTGAGGTAAGATGTTAATATTCAGTACATTTATACAACGCATAATGATCAAATCAGGGTAGTTCAGCTTTTCACCCTCTTAAACATTCTCAAAAAGTTTTCTGAAAGATGTAGATGAAAACAACACTGCGATTCCACTTCACTCCAGAAAGAATGGCTGCTTGTCAAGGAATCAACCAATAACAAATGCTGGTGGGGTTGTGGGTAGAAGGGAACCCTTCTCCATTGTTGGTGGGAGTGCAGACTGGTGCAACCACTGTGAAATCAATATGGAGATACCTCAAAGAGCTGGGACTAGAGGTTCCATTTGACCCAGCTATCCCTCTGCTGGGTATCTTTTCAAAAGAATTAGAAGAATCATACCACAGCTATATATGTGCACCTATGTTCATAGCGGCACAGTTTGCAATAGCTAAAACTTGGAAACAGCCCAATTTCCCATCATTTGGAGACTGGACAGAGAAGATGTGGTTTATCTATAAAATGGAGTATTACTCAGCCATAAAGAATGAGAAACTAGAGTCATTCATAGGAAAATGGATGCATATTGAGGCCATACTCTTAAGTGAAATAAATAGGACACACATGTGTCAATACCAAATAGTTTCTCTGCTGTGAAAAATGAAAAGTGTAAATAAGATCCAAATTGTATAAGTGATAATATGAAATAGGAAGAAAAGAGCTAAAGGTGTAGGGGAAGTGGGAAGGATAGGGGAAAGGAAATAAGGGGAAAGAAAAAAAATCTAAGAAAAGGAAAAAATGGAAACAAGGTCTTTGTAAATAAGGAAGGGTGGAGGGTGTGAAGGGAGGACAGGGCTATGGGGAAAAATGAGAACCAAGATCTGTCATGTAAAGGTACAAGATCCCAATGATGAATGTAACTGTACTGTATACCTAAAAAGTACCAAAAAACTCAATGAAAACAAAAAAAGTTTTGTGAACTAGTACAACTGCTTTGGAAATCAGTATAGAGATTCCTCAAAAACTTAAAAATAGAAATTCCATTCAATTAGGGTATCTTCCCCAAAGAGCTAAAAACATCATACTACAGTAATATATGTATACCTTGTTTATTACCAGCACAACTCACCACAGCTAAATCTTGGAAATGGCCTATGTGTCCATCAACACATAAATAGATAAAGAAAATGTGGTGTGCATACACAATGAAGTACTACTCAGCCATAGGAAAGTATAAATTTGAGTCATTTGTAGAAAAGTGGAAGCACCTAGAGTCAATAATGCTAGGTGAAATACATCAGACACACAAGCACAGTTTATCTCATTTGAGAACCCCGGAGTATAAATTATTTTAAACGCAAAATAAAAGATAGATGATAGAAACAGGAAGGTAGACCTTTAGGAAATGGGAAGGGGATCTAACAGTGAGAGGGAAGGGAGAAGAGGTGAGGGAAAGTAAAAATTATTAAAATATGAAATGTATATAAACCAACTCCCTATGATGAATGTATTCATTATGTATAGCAAACATGAACTAATAAAAAAGAAATTTAAAAATCAATGAAGCAAATGAAATATAAAAAATTGTTAACATGGCACAGTGTTATATTTCAGTACATATATATAATACATATTAATCAAATCAGAGTAATCAATGTTGCCATTCTCTTACCATTACTTTGTGTTTGACATCATCAGGATTATTGTGGAAAAAAAATCTATCAGGATATATAATCAAGAGCAAGAGAAGCTGAGAAGGGTGACGGGGGAAGAGGGAGGCTGGATTCCAGGTGCCAAAAACATAGTTATTATAGATTGCTTTTTTTAAAAAAGTAAATAGCTCTAGGACTGGAGGAGAATTTGTTTCATAGGTTTGCTTGTTTTGGGGGAAAATTTCATCATGTTTAAAGGCATAGAGGAAAAATAGGTCTCCAGTAGATAATAGAATGTGCTTTAGAAGATGTTTTGTGCTCTTGCAAAGTTCAGCTGTTGTTTTGTTTGGGCTGTGGTTGAACCTTTGTCATAGTGGAAGAGATCAGTGCCCATCTGAGCTTTCATTATCAGCATTGCTCAATCTTAAATGGTAGATGTCTAAATATCTTGTCCTCAGGGGAACAGATCTGCCTAGAAAATAAGAATTCAGAGAGCCAACAAGGATGATTTACATAGGAGAAGCATCAGAGGGAGTTTTCAAAGATGAAGTCCTGGAGGTATCCTAAATGAATCAAAACTTGGGAGACCCAATGGCATTACCTGATGCAAAGGGTGATTAAAAAGTCTGAAACTAGGAGTTGAAACTAGGAATCAGAAGCCACCCAGAATTCAGATCAAAGTCCAAACAATTTGGGAACAATAGGTGACCGCCAAAACACCATTGGTGTGTTTAAAGCCTCAGCTGGGCAGTAAAGTAGCTGGCACAGTATAAAAGCTGGCACAGTAGAACCCAAGTTTAAGATGTAAAGTGCATCAAGCAAAGCTGATCGTCTTTTGGGAAATTTCTTAGTCTTAACATTCATATATCTTAGCCCTTAAGACTAAGCACCAAATTGTGTAATTCATGAATATGTGTCTCTTTCCCTATACTGTGAATTCTTGAAGAACTAGGATCTTATTTGATACACGTGGTGTCCCTGATTCTTAGCCAGCATCCAGGAGGACTCAACAGACATTTGTGGAACAAATAAAGAGTGCCTAATAGAGAACATTATAAGTAAAGTTAATAAATGCAAATGGTAGATGCGGAAGTCTGAAGGGTATGGTATATCTGAGATAGCTTCAACGTGAGATATATGCTGACACTGTGTTATTACTAAATGATTTTACTTGTCTGTAGCAAAACGAGCCTTGTCAGGTCGAATGACTCCATCTTGGGACATAGTATTTATTGTCTTTTAGAAATGATGTTAATAGTTATGACTTTATAAATATATACAGAAGTGAGTCTTAACTTCAAGGGAAATGTCCCTAGGTCACATAAAAGTCAAGCATTGAATTTATAAAAGTGACTATTGGTGAACATGGAATGTTCATCCAGAATAAAAATCATTGTGGTTTCCCTAGAGAAAGCTATGGAAAGCTGAATAGGGGAGGATTTAGGTGCAGAGAAAGCATCACTGGGACTGATGCCATGTGAGCAAAGGAATTTGGGTCACAGAGATTAAAGACATAACGGATATTTGATTAGTTGGCCCAGAGTAAAAGGCATAGATACAGACTTAACATTTTTCTTGTACCTTTATATGCAGATGGGGAAAAATGAGCTCAGCAACTTTACTTCCCAAACGTGCACCTCCCAAGGCTTTTGAAGTGCAACAAGATTTTAAATTTTTCAAGTCTCTTTCTTCTCCCAAGGTAGCTAAACAAAGTAACAATCATAGCAATAATCAAACAATCAGCCAATCAACCAATTAAGTTTTACACTGATGCTATTGTGAATTGTTACAAATTTGGTGGTTTAAATAACTTGGGTTATTTTACAGATTATACATACATCAAAAGTTTGACATGCATCTCCCCAGCTAAAACTGAGGAGACACCAGATCTGTCTTTCTGTAGATTCTAGAGGATAATCCCATATTCCTTTGTTTGTGACCCTTTCCTTTCTCTCCAATGACAGAAATGTTGCCTGTGTTTGACTCTGTGGTTCCGTGCCCTTCTGATCCAGCAGAGACAATTCTCTGCTTTTAAATATCATTAGATTGGTCACACCTACATTATCCAGAAAAACCTCCCCATGCAAGGATCTTAACATCAGTCACATTTACGAAGTACTTTTATGTAATATATACCCCATAATAGAAATACTCACAGCTGAGCTAGGGAAGTAGGATATGATGTCTTTGGTAGTCATTCTACCTCTCACAGACACATGTTTTTTCAGTGCAGAATTACTAAATAAAAGTATTCTGTTGTTTATTCTATTCTATTTTTAACACTAGGGAATTAATCAATTAAAATTGATTTCCTCAAGCTCATCTACAGGATTCAAAGCACAAAATGGAAGATAATTATTAATGTCTGAGACAGACGGGCATTGCATCCTTCTCTTACAGTATCAACTTCATATTTAATGTTTAATAGTTAATACTTTTCAAATAAAGCAACTTTCAAAAGCCCTACTTTTCTGTTCACGCAAAAATCAGAAAGTTTCTTTTCTCTGAAAACAAGGTAGTAGGAAGGAAAGGCGCACAGTGTGGCATCAAACAGAATTAGGTGTAATTTTATGTCAATTTTGTTTTCATTTGATGACCTCTCAAAGAGTAGCTGTGAGGATTAAGTGTGTCATAATGTGTTTACTTAGCATATTCAATAATGAATTAGAATTATTTGTATCCTTATCTCTATTTCCCACCCACCCCACCACTAAATCACAAGCTCTTTATGGGCAAAAATATCTGCATAGTGTGTAATAGACACTCAGTTTTGTGAAATAAGATTGATATAATATGATCTAGAAATACAGGGTGGCAATCAATTTTAATCTTCTTCAATTTAGAGATAAGAAAGCATTTTTAAAATATTAAATAAATTTGGGAAAAATCTTTAGAAAGATTTATAGAGCCCTTGAAACAATCAAATGCCCCCATTAACCTCAGTGTCTTAGTACTGCAGTTGGATAGTAAAATTTTTAAAGTTAATCTTAAATTTGATTGAAATATGTTTCACTCGGGATTCTCTGATTTTCATCACCAATCTGCTTTTATTCATTCATTTTCATTTTCAATGATGGAATATTAATCTATTAACTTATTTTCTGTTGATTGACTGTTGTCATATTGTTACCAGTGATGATAATATCTTAGCACTACATCTCACATTTAAATGCCATCTGACTACATTTACAAGCTCCTTTGATTCTTGTGACTGGCCAACGAGGAAAAAACTTGACCAAGACCATCCAGCTAGTCAGTGAAAGACTCAAGATTTGAGCTAGGTATTTTGCACTTTTCATTAAATATTAATTTCTATGTTTTGTAGGTCCACAGAAATTCCTTGGAAGGTTTCATGACTGAAAACAGAGATGCTGGGATTGTTTTTGGTTCTCTGCCTATCTACAGGGTAAGCCAGAGATTTCTAGAACAAGACAGGTGACACAAAAAATGTAAAATCTGACTTTTCATTCTTGACCCTGAACAACCAAACAAGGTTGGAAAAAATCACATAAGCAAGCTTCTACTCCATGATTGCACAAATATATGACATCCAATCCCAGAAAAGTCTTAGTTTTATGTGTCAAAGGCTTGAATCACTTCCCTCTGCCATTCCATGTGTAGCTGTTTTGAACTTGGCATTGGAGACTCTTCCTTACCTACAACAAATCCTCTATGATTGGGCCTTTGCTAAAACGTTTGGTTTCATTTTCCAACAGATTCCTCCCATACTCTCCCTATACTCTTGTCAATGTGAAATAATGACTGCTCTAAAGGGTATAAGAAACTAGTTTACTCTGAGTCAAATATGAGTGACCCATAACCTGGATTCAAGCTACCCTGAGTGGCATGTTCTACCATGGAAGAAGTTACATGGACTTTTATAGTCCCAAATCAATACATTTACAAATTACATTGGTGAGACCATCAGGTAGACAGGCTAGAACAAAGCAAAGCAATCTCTTCTGTAGGCTTACACATCATCTTATGACCATTGATATATAAAATGCTATCGTATAGGATTCTTAGCTTTACAGTTCATGGGAGCTAGAGGACTAGTAAGCTTAATGATACATTCCAAGTAGTTTGCCTAACAGTCATGAGAGTGTTAGGTCAGGCACAAAAGTTAGGACAAATGGATGTTAAAGAAGCTAAAGTAGCTCAAGATAATTTTGGTTCTCAACCTAGAACATTCCATTACTGCATAATCACGATGTTCTAGTCCACTACGCTCAAGCAGTCCACAGGATCCTTAAAACAGATGCAGCTTCTTCAGAAAACTTCAATTCACAAGTCCACTCATGCCGAATAATTCACCATGCCTTAAGCATCGCTGGGCTGTCCATCACCTCTGAGACTACTTGTGCTGCCCTCACTCAGGATTCATCCATCCCTTGTTTCTTTTCAAGGAGTTTCCCTCCCTCCAAGTCTCCCACTCTAGGTAAACAACTTGTCAAAGAATCAATCCATGAGTCCAAGAAATAATAAATCAAATGCCAAATATTTCAACTTAATGTCAACTTATATCTTAAAAATGACTTATCTTTTCTAAGGACGTGTTCATTGTAATGGGGATCAAATATTTAAGCTACCAGATGATGCTAAGGTTGAACCATCAATAATCAACTGTGGGCAACTGGGAAGGGGCTGTGGTTTAAAGCATACCTTCTCACCCCTTACACTGCCCTCCAAATTGAATTACAGAAGTGACCACTTTAAATAGGTCTAATTCACTCTTTACTTCTGGGTTCCAGGTACCAAACCCCACTACTCTAAGATTCCTTCCACTCATTGGTGTAGAAGCACAAAGGGAGTCATTGGAAAGTGCTCTAGCAAAGAAGAAGGGAAGTCATGTTCAACATGAAAAGGTAAGTTAGTTCGGACTCCCCCAGTTCATGTGGGTTCCAAAGTCTATCTCCCCTCTGACTTTGTAATTATTTCTCTGTTCCCAGAAACATTCTAAGCCTAAAATTATTTCAGTTCATGTTCTTTCTATGAATATTCTAGATGTATGTTATTGCACTTAACTGGATGGAGCCAAAACATTGGTCAGCAGATTCTGGCTCACCAGCAAGAATTTTTCCCATACATTAACAGGAAAAACACAGAAGGCTTTAAAGTTGTGCCTTTAGAAGTGATTCCTTTAATTTTTACAATAAGTACAAAGAAAATGTTATAGCTGTTTTAGAGTTGGGGAAAAATTGGATTCTAAAACAAGGTGAAATGACTTACTAAAGATCACATACAATTTAAGTAATGAGCTGAGATTCTTTACTCCAAATTTCACGGTTATTCTAGTAAAACCACAATGGCCTATACAACTCAAATCCTAACATTCTCCCACTAGCTCTAGAAGCTCTCATGGGTTTAACTTAACTGGTGCTCGTTTACCAAGTCATTAAGATAGATTATACATTAAAGAGATCATCTAGCGCATGGTAATTTTTATGTCTCCTTTTCATAAATTTGGATAGAAAGGAAATGGTTTTTATTGTCTGAAGCCAACTCATTAACAGATAACAAACAATGACAACAACATAATAATTTTAAAAGCTATTTTATTTGAGTATTTCCACCAGAATTTCTTAATGTATGCACTTCATAACAATATGAATGATTACTGTTAATCATCAACTCTACCAATGATTCAAGTAAGAATTTTTAGCAATTCTCTAAAGTTCTCTAAAAGTTAATTTACTAATATTTGTAAAAATATTCATTACTTTTGCTTTAAGTAATGGATTAAATACCATGGCGTAAAAATAATCCAAAGATAAAAAGTAGTCATAAAAATATTTGTATTGAGCTTTATAATTCATGTAGTTTATGCCCCATATTTTCATTCTTATTTAAGTTTTATCTCGCCTAATACTAAATGCATTTTCAAAGTAAACACTAAGTAACAGAAAGAAGGCAGCAGCGGGCATGGTGGTGCACACCTGTAATCCCACCTTCCTGAAGGATGAGGCAAGAAGATTGTGAGTCTGAAGCTATATGCTGTCCACTGCAAATGCTGGTTGAACATTTGTCACAAAAGTAGGCATTTCTGGGGCTGGGGATTTAGCTCAGCGGTTTGGTGGCCTGCCTTGCAAGCGCAAAAACCCGAGTTCAATCCCGGGTACCAAAAAAAAAAAAAGTAGGCATTTCTTGACCCAAACTTCTAAACTAGATGAGGTTGGAATTTCTTTCAAAATATCTAATTCAAAACAAACTTTCATTTCTCATTCATGTGATCATCATTTGATTTCTCTTTTCCCACCAGTGTACTCTGATGCTATTAATATACAGTATTAATTATTCATTAGCTAGGCCTTGCTTTGTTTTGATGTGAGCTGGAGCTTTCCAGATTATGCAGTGGAGCCCCACAACAGATATCTGCCCAGTTACACAGCTCTAGAATTCCTGCCCTTCCAACTCAGTCTTCTGGAGTCCCAGCTCCCACTTTTAATACTCTTCTCCATCAGGACATATGATTGTTAAGTGTAATAACTATACTTTTTCCCCCCAAGAGGATTAAAATATTTCTGTAATGGTGAAGTATGACTCTGAAAAGTATGTTCTGACTGTGACTCTGAAAACTGTGCCCCTCGCTAATCAATATGTCCTTTATTCCACAGATGTCACGGAGGAAAAGTCTGAAAAGAAATTTAGTTCCACAGATAAATCTGACTTCTTCCTTTTTCCCGGCCCTGTCCAACCAAAGAGGTTCTCAATAAACTGCTGCATATAAGACAACAAATTCTGGATGATGCTGTGGGCTCCAACTCAGGAAGACAATGAAAATCCACTAGTCACCCATTTCCAGACCACAGCTCATCCTGTTGATGGGAAAGATTGCTAAAGGAGCTCAAAGATTTCAGCTCTGAACATCAAAAAAGCAGCAAGCAGCTACTTTGCCAACTTCATTCATATATAAAAGTTCACGTAATAGGCACTGTTTCTTGTTTACTTCAACAAAATGACACGTAAGGAAACAAATTAAGTCAACAGCATAAGTACCTATTTGTATGATATGATTATGGATGATTAGCTTTCTACTCCTTCTCATTGTTCATCTCAGTCCATGGCCAGAATGTAAAATGTATGCAGGGAGAGGGAACTTACTTGTGATCCATGCTATGGAGTGCACAAACAGCATTACTATTAAAAAGAAAAATATGCCAATGAGGGCTTTAGTTATATTCTGCTTCTTCATTTAGAAGAATGTAACCTGGGAGATAAAGTCATAAATCATTCCTATTTAATTTATAAATGAGTCTAGATAAATAGAATTTAAAAGATACTTGAATTTGCTGGGATTCATCTTTTATTGATTGATTCTGGCATTTTAACCTGATTGGGGGAGGGGGTGGCAACCACTCAATGAACTGAGCCACATTCAAATCCCTGTCACCTTGGTGCCAGGTGGCTCCAAAGCCTATTCTAAGATAAAGGTAGAAAAATCACCTTTCTAGCAAAGAAAACATGTCCAGCCATTTCACGTTCAAAGAATACTGCCCAGTGGTTTTCTATGATCTGCATGAGAGGTCTGGAAGGGAGGCCAAGGATTACCAGAATTCCCTGACCAGGAGTGCACCCCTTCTGAAGGACTCCCAGGCACACAGTGGAACTTGTTTCCACGCTTCCTGTGATGAGTCACATTCTCAAGACCATTGCCAGTGAAGATGTGGCTGAAATGTACAACGTCCTGAAAAGGTACCACTAGCATATAGTGGAATGTTGTGATATTACTTTCTTTCTCAGCTCTTGGCACGTACCAGCCTAAGGTCGATGGAATTGAAACATGTAATCACAAGAAATGTGTTCAGCCTTTGTTTATCTGTATTTTTAAAATATGACTTCAGGGGCCCCACAGTGGCTAGAGAAGCTAGGAACAAAAGGCCAAAGAACTGCCAACTTTAAAAGATAATGAGTTCATTAATGAGAACCAAAAGATGTATATCGATGACAGCAATAAAAAGGTGATCGTGGAAAAACTGAAAAGAGATACTGAGTTTCTTGGCCAGTTGAAGCTCATGGACTTCAGCTTCCTGTGGGAATTCCGAATGTGGAGAGGGCCAAGCAGGAGGGGATAGAGTGTGAGGACAGGAAGGAGAGGGGCAGCCATGGTACTCCCCAGGTCGGGACCCTCACACAGCCTGGGAACATGCTGAACAGCTCACCACCCATGGTTCTGGGCAAATTCAACCCAAACACTGATGTGTTTGGAATTAAATGCCATGAGCACTGACCCAGGAAAGAAGTGTATTTCATGGCCATTACTGACATTCTCACTCATTATGTTGCAAAGAAGAAAGCTGCCCACATTGTAAAAACTGTTAAACACGGGCTGAAGCAGAAGAGATCTCAACCAAAACAGTACTCTTTGGACTTTCTTGACCATATCTCAACATAACCTCCTGCATAGCCTTGAGTAGACATGAATGTGGGAAGGACAGAGGTGGCTTAGTTGTAGGAAAAAGGAAAACCAAACTCAATGAAGTGCTCATCTTACAGGAAGCAAACCTCTTTGTTTACACCTTCAGGCCAAAATGACTGATTTGGGGGCTACTCGCTTTACAGCTACCTGGTATTTCCCAGCATCATTCTAGCTATTTCTAATTCTGTGTGCACGTTTGCATGTGTGCATGTACGTGTGCTTGCATGCACATTCTAAAATAAGTAATTAAAACTGATCAGCTTGAATCAGAAATAAACTCTGATTCCAGCTGTGGCTGAATGAATGGGAGCATGGGGGAAGAGGGAGAGGGAAATACATGTCAAAGCAACCCTGTCAGCATCACCCAATAATCTATGAATCAGTGTGTTTTTTTGAATTGAAAGATATAACAGAGTGTTCAGAATAATAATGAAGATAATAATGATAGCCATGATAGTCATAATGATGTTTAAAAGAATAACAAAGAAATCGCTGTGAACGTTACACTTCTACCCTACTGCCTTAGCTACCTTTCTCATTGCTTAGACACAATACCTGATACTCAAAGCTAAAAGAGGAAAGATTTATTTAATTCACAATTTATAAAGGTTTCAGTCCAGAGTCGACTGGCTCCAAGGCAGGGTGGTGTGGCAGAGGAGAAACAGTCCATAGCATAGCCAGCAGGAAGCGGCAACAGCAGCAGCAGAAGCAGCAGCAAGCAGTAAGCCCACCTTCTTTCTGTCTCTTTGTATTCCATCCAGGTTACAAACCTATTGATGGTGCTACCCACACCCAGGCCAGAGCTTCCATTATCCATGCCCAGAACTATGCTAAACCAGTTTAGTTATCGCACATCCTTAATCCTAGTATCACAACCCTAATCCAGCGTCATATAACCGTGATCCAGCTACTTCCACAAAATCTCCACCTATGAGCACATGAAGCTTGGGGGTACATCTAGATACAAACCATAACACCTACATGCAAACACTCCTTAACAGTGGCCACCGAGCCCCCACGCTGAATTTCCATTGAAAGACACCAATAATGGAGTCTCTGTGAGTACTGGTTTGGGTTCTGTCCCCTCATTGTCAGGATGCCCAGTGTCCCAGAATACTGTCTGTCTTCTCCAAGAAACTGATGCTGCAGGACTCTGTCTACATTTTCACCTCCATAAATATGCCCAGGAAAACTGTTTGCTTCTCCTTTCTTGCCTGGAGACTCTTCACTGTTACACCCTTAAGTCGCAGTATAGGAATTCTAGCTACAAAACAAAAATAAAGCTTCCCTGAAAGATGCATCCTGCTCTCAATTCTCCTTTGACTGAATGCAAATCTGAATCATAAGAGATTTATGTTTGGCCATTGTTTCAAATAATGCTATTTTATTACAAATTATCCCTTTAATTGAACCCCTCAGTTTTACTGTTTACATTTTTAGGAAAACAGGGATATTTTTATCTAAAATTTTAATATACAACGTGATTTTTGAAGTTTACATGTAAAGTCATTTTATAGTGTGAGTAAAATAATATTTCTTATATTCTGAAAATGTCCTACAGTCATGTTTTTGAGTGAATGTTCTCTTCAATGTATGTGGTAGTCTTTTACAATAAAAGAAAAAATATTCTTTTGTCTCCTCCAGATGTACATTAATTGACCTGATTTTTTTAAAAGAAAAAGATTAAACCCAAAGCTGGTTTAGTAAGTTTGTTGCCCTGAACTGTGCTGTTTAATCAATTTAAAAATCACCAATATTGATTGTGTATCTACCAGCTTTTCTACATTTTCTAAAAGGTGACAAGCTGTAAACATTAGACTTGTTTGCAGTAGGTTTTCAACTTATACTCTGTGCTAAAGCTGTGCCTTTCAAATTCTCTAACATCTTAAAAAGTAAAATGGTTTTTATAGGCAGTTTCAAAACAAGGAAAAAAATCCACCCTTCAATAATTATTTACAATGGGGGCTGGGGATTTAGCTCAGTGGAACCATGCCTGCCTCACAAGCACAAGGTCCTGAGTTCAATCTCCAGTATCAAAAAAAATTACAACAAATCCTGCGACCAGATTGCCTTTCCAGTCACATCACTTCTGGGCAACCCAGGGCACTCTTGTGCCCATCCTGTATCAGCTGCTTGGAAGTCAGCAATGATGCCACCCAACCACTATCAACTGACTTTACACAGATCTGCTATCCAGTGATATTAACTTCACTGGAACACAGTTACACAAATCTGTATTTTATGTATTTAAATTAATCTGTGCTATGATCTGCCCCTCCACTACCGCCACCACTGCCACCATTAATTCTGGCATCAAATCCATTTTAGTCTTCTGAGGTTCTGTAGTTCCTTTGACCCAAGACTTAGAAATGAGAAACCCTGAAGTAAAGACATGGTATACATCCGCGGCTTCAGTAACTGTTTCCTTTGTGATCAATCTCTGTATCCATTTAGAAGTTTACAGAATGCTTCATTTTCAGTCATTCATTTCTGTTGATGGGCTATATGGACAGAGTGAGTAAGTTTGTCTTTATTGGGCAGTGCTAACAACATACACCAGTCGTGAGCCAGGCTTTATTAAAAAAAAACCATTTTGATGACTCCTAAAACATATATACAATTTGGTGACCCCTCTTAGGATTTAAAATGTAGCATTTTTGTAGGTTATATGACAAGGGATTTTATTTTAGTATATTGTTCAGAATAGCATGCTGTAATCATGCGGCTATAATTTTTAATGATACACATTATAAGTAGAAAACTTTGGTCCTTTCCTTAAACTATCAAATCATAAGGTGATTAGTTTCTCCACTTCTCAAAAAGCATGATTTGTTGACATTGTAGTATGACTAATTTATCACATGATGTTGGGTGCGCAGTTAGAATGTTCACTAAAACATAGGATAATGAGTTCTACTTCAGGGAGAGGGAGGGGAGTGGAGAGGAGATAGAAAAGAACTAAGATGTGTTATGTACAGGCACCAAATCCCTATAATGAATTAATCATTATGTACTAAAAATAGTAAAGAAAAATAACAGAAGATATGAAGGAACTAAAAGGCAGATCAACTTCATAAGTAATGCACGTAGACTGATTTCAACTTCTCCACAGAATAGAAGGAGGAAAAGGCCAGGAAATATTGACTGACATCCTCAAATTCCTGAAGTAAAATAAATGCTAATCTAACATTCCCAAACAAGGAGAAATATCCTTCAGAAATGAGTTAAGCGTCAAATAAGGTTTTAACAAAAATTATAATCAGTCACAGACACATATTGAAGAAGGTGATAAGACTGTTCTTTAAGTATAAGGAATACAGAAGTTCAGAGGGAGAGAAAAGACAGAGCAATAAAAATGGAGGATATCTGAGTAGCCGAAGTGAATATTAACAGGATAAAGCAATAAAAAACATCATAATTCTTATATAGATAATAAAATACATAAAAATGAGATATAAAAGTGGAGAGGAGAATAGCCCCAATTTTCTAAGGCTTTTGAATTACCTATAAGCAGGTAAAAGTAAGAATAATTATTCAACTGTGGTAAGTCAAGGATATGCACTATATTCTCTATAGTAACGATTAAAAGAATAGTAGCAACATATATGAAGGAGGAAAGGAAGACTAGTAAAATTACTGATCTAAAATAAATAACAGGAAAGCAAAAAGAGCAGCATGAAAGGGTAGGAAAAAATGCAGAGTATACTGGTAAAATTAAATATATTAACAATCATGAAATTTAAAAGACAAAGGTGGTGAACTGACATTTCAAAAAGGAGGATATTCAAATAG